CCCAACTTCTTTTCCACCCCTTAGGGTGATGGCCTTGGCGGATTCGAATCCTCCCTTTGGATTGACTGTGGTTGAGCTAGGAAGCTTTCCTTGCTCTCTAATCTGTCCAAGGAACTCAGAAATCTGCCCTATTTGTTTCTTCATATCCATCATCTCCTTCTCGTTATTTGTTATCCGGTTGTTTTGATTTTGCAATCCCTACGAAATAGAGGTTAGTAATTGCATAGCTTGATCACTTTCCAAGGACGTACCTGAATAAGATGATGCCGAAGGTTGTTGGGGTTGTTGGGGTGCATACGACTTGGAATAAAAACCAGGGGGTTTGGCCTAAATCCTCCTTGTTGGGCAGCTTGTTGTGGCTCCCTCCATTTGAAGTTTGGATGGTCCCTCCATCCGGCATTGTAAGTGTTCGAGTATGGGTTGTTTTGATTTTGTCCTTGGAAACCAATTGCATTGGCAGATTCCAACCCACCATTCTCGATTAGTTGAGGGCACTTGTCGGATGGATGCCCTTAAATTGAGCACACGCCACAAACTTGGTGTTCTTGTGCTTTTGGACCAATCACAACCTGAGAAACAAGAGAAGTAAGATTAGCAAGTTGTGATTGAATTTCAGAAATAGCACTCACCTCATTTACACTTTGTTGCCGTGGGGCTTCTCTTTGGCCCACTCCTTCATATTGTTGAGCGTTGAGCGCTCGGTTGGCTATGAGAATCTTTGCATCCCTTGGTGTTTTGTCCACCAATGCTCCTCCCGCTGATGCATCAAGCATTTGACGTTCGATAGGAAGGAGGCCCTCATAGAAATATTGAAGGAGAAGTTCCTCCTTCATTTGATGTTGAGGACATGAAGCTACAAGGCCCTTGAAGCGCTCATAATAAGCCGGGAATGTCTCACCATGATTCTGTTGAATACCACTAATTTTCTTCCGTAGGAGAATCACTCTCGAAGTAGGGAAGAATTTCTCCAAGAAAGCACGCTTCATACTCTCCCACGAAGTCACAGTTCCCGGGGCTAGTTCGTAGAGCCAATCTTTGGCCTTGTCCATAAGTGAAAATGGAAAGGCCTTCATCTTCAATATACTCCCATCCATAGTGACGGGGGTCATGCTCGAACAAACCACCTCGAACTCCTTCAAGTGTTTGTTAGGGTCTTCCATAGACAAGCCATGGAACTTCGGAATATGGTGTAACAAACTGGATTTGAGTTCAAACACCTCAGTCTTCCCCTCTGCAGCCGTGGGGTATTGGATACAAAGAGGCAATGCATTATCCAAACCCGAGGCCGAAAGCTCCTTGATGGTTCTATTATCTGCTGCCATGGCTTGTTCTTCTTCAAAAATCTGATCCGTGGGCTTTTCTTCTACACCTACTTCGTCTTCTTCAAGCCCAGGTTGTGGTGGAGGTTGTGGTGGCTCTTGTTGACTCCTCGTTCTCCTCAAAGTGCGTTCAAAATCACCGTCAAAGTCGGAGATGTTCTCTATAATAGGCCGAGAGCTACGAGTCATACACAGTACCTGAAAAACAAGAAAACAAACAAACTAAGAATCTAAAATAAGAATGCACGAAAAACAAAAAAAAATAAAAATAAAGACAAGGGATTAGCAAAGTTGCTAATCCCCGGCAACGGCGCCAAAATTTGATGCGAGAATTACTTGACACTCAAATTAAACCCTCGTTTGACAATTGTAGTAGAATGGATAAGTGAGGGATCGTTCTAGACCGGGGATTAGGAGGGCTTGCTAAAACCTTCTAAATTGACTTAAAAACGTAAAAACAATATAAAACACTAAACTAGACTCAAAGAATGTGAAACTAAACGTTAAAACACTAAGACAAACCAAAAGAATCAAAATGCTTTAAAAACACAAACTAAATTGATTTCTAACTATATTGAACATTAAAGCAAAAGGGGGATTGAGGTTTGACGAAAATTGAAATAACGAAACAAGTTAATAACTAGACAGAATGTAATTGATGAAATAAGATGGTTGATGAATTAGCTAGAGGTTCTTTCTCCACACATGATATTTATGCATATGAATCAATTTCCAGTTATTCCTTCATTGAATTATGAACGACAATGCCCCAAATTAACCGTGACATCACTAGTTAACCCTCAGATTTTCCTTATATTATTGGATTGGATGGCATCATTCGACAACCCAAAACATTCTCAAAAGTTCCCTACATGTCATCATAATAGAGATACAATCGAAGATCATTAAGAATAATGAAAACCATAAGCATTGACAAAGCATTTGCAACTATGACATCATGTTACTCATGCTAAGAATTAAACTTAACGCGATCGTGACAAGCGACCTTCACTACTTTCAAGTATAAGTTAGTAACAATTATGTGAAACCTTCTTAAACTTTAGCCACATACTCATGCATGCTAATTAAGTGTCGACCCTCAATCAACAAACACAAATAAGTTAATCATCAAATAGTTAAGCCAATTGCATTCACGAATCAAGAGTTCATAACCGGAATTCATCAATTCATATTACATAAATAATCATGGTATTGAAATCACCCCTAGCCAAAAAGGGTTTAGTTCCTCATAACTTTGAAATCAAAGAAACACCTAAACATTCCAACAACTCAAACGTGAATTGTATGAATGTTTAGGCACTCTTCTCTTCCATTCCTCATATTACAAAACAAAGAGAATTGAATTTAAACATTGAAATCAAAGAAACGCGTAAACATTCCAACAACTCAAACGTGAATTGTATGAACGTTTAGGCCCTCTTATCTTCCTCTTTATTGTGGCACAAGGACTAAGGGATGTTGTTGGTGTGTTGAATGGATTGGGGGATTATGGAAATGGAAGAAATGGAGGAGAAATGGAAGGGAATGGTGCAGAAAATGGAGAGACACTCACGGCTAGGGAGAAGATGGAAGTGTTTGTGGTGTGTTGTGTATGAAATGAGATGATTTGTGAATGAATGAATGCAAGGGTATTTATAGGAGGAGTGGAGATGTATATGGTTATTTGTTTAAGGTGTTTGTGGCTGCAATGATGAAGAATTGCATGTGGAAATAAAAGGGAAAATGTGGTGAAATGATGAAGTAGGAAGGTGGAAATGCATGTGAGATGTTGGAAAGGAAATGGGAATATGAGTAGGCCATGGCATGGGAGTTGTTTTGTTGGTGTAAATGTGCCATGGTTGCAATGATGAAGAATAAAGGGTGCATGTGAGGTGGAATTAAATGAATGCAAAGTGAATGAATAATAAAATGAGTTAAAGAGGGAGAATGTGGTGAAATGATGAAGTAGGAAGGTGGAAATGCATGTGACTTGTTTGTGGAATAAAGAATGAATGGTGAAATGATGAAGAGTTGCATAAAGAATGCATGTAGGGTTAGCTAGGTTGGCTTTGTTTGGGTGCATGTGTGTTAATGGTGGTTTTGCATGTGAATTGATGGATTATTTTTTATGGAATGGATGGTTCTTTGCATGGCTTTTGAAGTGATTGTGGGCTTTGGAATTGGAAGGAAATGCATGGCCTTGGGGTTGGTTTAAGAGAGAATGGGCTAGGCCCTTTGTTTTATGTCCAAAATGAATACAAGGCCTTCAAATTCGTCCAACACTTTGGCTCCAATCATATGCTATCCATTCCAAGCCCAATTTTGCTCCAAAATGCTCCAAAATGCATCTTTTTGCTTCCTTAGCCATATGAACCTAAAAACACACGAAAATGGCTTAAACTACTAAAACAACTATGAATTAACAACATAGATGCACGAAAACAAGCTAAGTAAGTCGCCTAAATATGCTCCTATCATCAAGCGAAGCTATTTATCGTAGCAGCAATGGCACAATCCTCCCGTTGTATTTGTTGGCAAAAGCTTTCATTTGGATAGTTCAACAAAATATATTGTAAAATTGTAAAACTAGCTAATCTTCACAATTACTGTTGGTAAAATTGTGGTTTGAGTATTGGGAAAACTTTCATTTTCATCGTGTGTCATGAAGCCAATGGAGTGCTCATCGGCTTGCAAAATTTAGTTTATCTAATGATGTTAGGTTCGTTTAGTTAGAAATGCCCCTGATTTTTATTCATGACAGTCTTAGACTATCTTCATTTCTTGGATTAAAATTTAAAATTTTTAATTAAAAAAATAGCTTTTAATCCAGAAACCCCTTTTTTTTTTTTTTTTTTTTTTTTTTTGGCTCCAATAATTCTGAGTTACAATTTTAAGCCCAAAATTATTAAAGAATGAATTTAAGTGAATTTTTCTTTTGGTGACTTTTTTCATAATAAAATTTATGTAGATTATCATAATTTATTTTTATGAACATTTTAACTTAAATTATTTAGGTTTCAAGAAAAGTTGAAAATTCACTAAATTGACCTATGAAACATGTAATTATAAAAATTTTGAGAAAATTTTGATTCCAACATTCTTTTTAATTATTTCAACCACTGAATTTAATTTTGGGCCATTAGAATTGATCATACTCGATCTTAGCTGTTAGAATTAATGTATTTAAAATTTTAAAATTGCCCAAATTTTAGGATTTAACCCAAACTTATTTTAGATGCAACCATTGAAAAATGATTGGGTTAGTTTAAAACCTAAATTTTGGTGGGCTAGCCTTTTAACTCTAACCTAAATTCACGTAAGTGGCCTTTTATCACAGACTCACAATGGTGGAAAAGAGTTGAGCCCTTGTGTGACATGGATTCGAATCCCGTCAATGGCTAATCTAATATCTAATCTAATAAAATCTATCGTTTGACAAATTATTATTATTATTTTAAAATTTATCGAAGTTTTAACCCAAAACTTATTTCAGACTCATCTATTAGAGAATGACTGGATTAACAACCCAAAAAATTAGAGATGGTCTCACAGAATATCCTCTAATAAGAAATGAAGGCCTTTCTGTTTTATTTTTTAATTTTTTTCAAACCAATAAAATTTCTCTCTGAAACTTCCTGGTAAGATAGTAGAAACAATTAAATAGGGTCAAATAGCCTCTTTCCTTTCCTCTGTCCTTCGTATACATCCTCATCCACTTCCCCCAACTACTTTCCCAGACGAACTTTACTACGTTATCTCCAAAGCTTCTTCTCTAAGTTTGGGACACGCGTTGGACGAACAAATAAAATAAATGTCCACGCGCTGTTTTTTTTTTTTTTTTTTTTGTGTGTTTAAAGCCGACTCCGCATACAAATCTCGACTAAGTTCCGATCCCAAAGACTCTGCATTCTGCAACGTAGATTTGGTGAATTACCCAGAGAAGAAAATCAAAAGATAACATCAAGTTGGTGAGCAAAATCTTTCTTCCTCCCTGGTTATTATCTTATTGTTATTTGATAATTGTTCTATTAGTTGATGTTGAAATACTGGTAATTTTTTACTGCTTACAAGAATTTTGTTCTGGGTTTTTGGATCTGTGAATTTGTATTACTTCTTGGTTGTTGAATGATGTCTGTGGAGGTGCAGCGTCCTGATCACTCTTCTTTTCAGTTTTGCCGGAATTGGGATTTTTATGAAGAGGGTTTGTTATTCAAATCTTATTGATGGATTGGGCTGCTTGGAAATTTTACATTATTTGGGATTCTGTAGCTTTTTGGCCCAGATGATCTTTTTGTGTTTGAAGTTGCCATAGTCGAACAGTTGTTGCAAATCAGAAACCGTTTTGAGAAAAAAGGACTTCTGCTTAAAATATTAGTGATCAATCCATTGTTGCCCAGAATTAAGAATCTGTTATTCATATTTTTGGGCTAATTTTGTGAAATCTTTCTGTAATATAGTATGTGTGTCGCTCTTGTTATACTCCGTTGAAGTAGTGAACTTCGCCAAGGCGGAGTATGTTGTGATTTGGGACTGCATTGTGGCTGTTGGGCGTGTTTGTTTCTATTTGTTTACTTTTGGTTATTGGTTTCCCAACTGATCTTTTGGATGAATGATATTATGTAGGAATTAGTTACGAGCTGAAGTAAGATGGATGGTGGAAGAGACAACAAAGATGATAATGAAAAAGGGCTGTTTTCAAATCTTGCTGGATATGCTGCTGGACACTACCCACAGCATGGAGCCTACCCCCCACAAGGATATGGATATCCTCCACAAGCGCATGGACCACCGGGTTACCCTCCTCAAGGTGGGTACCCTCCCTATGGTGGGTACCCTCCTTCAGGCGGTTATCCTCCTCCAGGTGGTTATCCTCCTCCAGGCGGTTATCCTCCTCCAGGTGGTTATCCTCCCCCTGGGGGTTATCCACCATCTGCTTATCCTGCCCCTGGTGGATATCCACCAGCCGGATATCCAGGTTCATCATCTCACCATTCAGGTAATCAAATTGCCGTCACTTAGTTTCTTATACCATATGAAGAGTAATATGTGAGATTGTTAGTATAGTTCAGTTTCAACTGTGAGATTTTGTGGTAGCAAATATCTCAAGGGAGAAGGTAGCTTAAAATGGCCAGTATGTGATGTTTTAGCCTATCCTTTGGTTTACTTTTTTTAATAACAAAATAAGACTATTAGAACCTTGGCTAACCAGGGCTATTTCAAGAACCAAAGTCAACCACTCGAGCAATCTAAATCAATCAAAATTTTGTGGTCTGGATTGAGTTTTCTTTTCTATATTATAACTATTATCTTTGTACAATTATGTTTTATTTTAAATGCCCATGATTCCTCGGGTCTATGGCATTGGTGGCGTGCAATGTGTGTGATGTAAATTTGGACTTTGTACGGCCATAAAATGTTTTGAGGTCCTAGGTTATTCTTAATGTAAGAGAAAAGAACAAAATTGGTTTCGGAAAAAAAGCGTTAACCAAACGGAACCTGTGTCGATGACCAAAATGTTTGAAATAATTGGCTAGTTGCATTAGATCGTTAATATAAATTCTATTTAAGTTCCAGAAATTCATGGGAGCACTTTAATTTCAATGCATGAATTGTGAGAAGGAGCGGTTGAATATAATTAAGTTGATAATTGTATGTAATATTACATCACTGATTCACTATACTAGATGCTGATGACCATCAGATAAGAACCACCAAAAGGTTCTTAGAGTAATATGTGACGCGCCACTATTTTTGTTACAATTTTTGCTAATATGAAACTATAACAGGGCATGGACCTAATATGGGAGGGATGCTAGCTGGAGGTGCTGCTGCTGCAGCTGTTGCTTACGGGGCTCACCATCTTGTGCATAGTGGAGGTCACCATGGGTATGGTTATGGAGGTCACCAAGGGTATGGTTATGGAGGTCACCACGGCTATGGACACGGGAAGTTCAAGCATGGAAAATTTAAGCACGGGAAATTTGGCAAGCGCTTTGGATTCGGGGGAAAGTTCAGGAAGTGGAAGTGATCGAGAGTAATATTGAAGATCCAAGTCCTCTGTATTTGATGTTGTTGATATTTTAACTGGCCTTTTAATAATTACTTGAGACTGGATTCTTTGAATTTTTTTTTTACCTCTGTATTTCATATGTCAGTTTGCTTCTTTTGGTTCCTATGATGTATATATTATCTCTATTCTATAAATCTTTGTAATGAGCAACTTGATGGATTTTCCATTTTCTTTTTATCCTCAATGTCAATAAGTTAATGTAAGTGTATAATAAATATGGGGGATTCTGGTTTTCTTCATGACTAATCCATATTTCCTTCCACTCGGACATCGTTTAGAAGTTGGGATTCATTTCTTACTGCAATTTGCATTGATTCAATACCAACCTAGGTATATTTACTTGATCTAGCTACTCTAAGTTCATCTAGGTCCATCATCTATTTCTTCTAGGTTGTATGAATGCTTTGTTTTCCTCTCTTCAGTAGTCTTGGGTCCCTGGAGAAGCAAACCATGCTGCTGAATGTAGGATGTTGCCGCTACGGCCCCCGCCTTGGTCTTTGTTCTTTCCCGGGACGGCCTCCCCAGTCCCCCGGAAGCCATGGCCAGAACCTGCTAATATTGTTATTGTTATTTTCCCTTAGTGTTTTCTCCTTACATTGGACCGGCCTCTTTGACTTCTCCTTTCTTTTTGTTGTTGTTGATGTTTAATTTCTTGAGGACTTGGCTCCTGTGCTTTGTTCCGCTTTTGCCTTGTTGTCACATTTTGAATGAAGCATCGAATTGCCGAAAACGTGATGGTGTAATTGTTACACATAGAGATGTAGAAGAGAAAGTATACATACCATTTGTTTATTTACATATTATATCCAAATAATCTAGCTGATTACAGCAGTTATCGGGTGGTTGGATGTAAACGTGTCTTCGCATGTCCGCTTGCATCTGGCAATATTAGGGATGCCCTTAACAGGTCATCTTCCCCCCTTTTTTTCCTCTTTCCTTTCCATTTCCAACAACTCTCCTCCTAATTATAAGTATTTTACAGCTCCTTATCAACAAATCTGTTCTTTTAACAGTTTTACACATGCGTTTGACCCAACAAAATATAGATAATAAAGAAAATAAAAAACGCACACGCATTTGTTTGTGCGTGTGTATGGTCGAAGCTTCCAACGATCCAACTGCACATGCAACGGGAGAACAAGAAACAACGTTTCCAAAAATTTGTCACACCAATCTCAAGTATTCTGCAACATCAATTGGTGAGCATTCTATATCACTTGGTAAACTTTCATTGCCTCTATGAATAGTTCTTGTGGTTATGTAGATTTTTCGTATTTTCTTCTGGGTTTGTGGTTTCCTGATTTTGGTTGTCATTGTTTCTTTTTATTGATTTAAATTGATGGAATTGCTTCTGACATGATTTTCTTTTGTGATTTCTTTTAGCATTGTGGGAATCATTTAATTATTTCGGGGGCCTTACAAGCACGGGTTTCGTAGGGGATTTGTTTTTTCATCGTGATAAACCATGGTTTAAATCGTTGTTTTTTCTTGAGATACATCATGCACACTTAGTATAATCTTACTTCGCTAATCGCTAAGTTATATAACCACCATTAAATTCTCTTTTGTTCAAATTCTTATACCAAAAGAAAAGAAGGTGTGGAGCAAAAGTTAATGATGATAGGGTTTATATCTTTATTGAAATTGGAATTAGATTTCCAAACTCCCGCACTCGTGAGAATGTTATGATGTAACCGCCCCCCGGGGGGGGGGGGGGGGGGGGGGGTGGTGTTGGAGGGGGTGGGTTGTTTGTGGGGGTGTGAAGGCGGGGTGGGCGGCTTTACTCAAATTCTAAAATCATTTTGACAATTTGATAACTTTAATATGTTTCTTGTACACACTTGTTTCAAACAATATGATGAACTTTTGACACCAAAGGGTGTCAAACTAGGCTAGTGGTTACCAGGTCAGATATGTCCTTTAGGCCTCTATTACTATTAGGAGATGGTTGCCCCTTCTGAATTCGGATCCCCTCAAAATTAAGAATCATTTCAATATGCATACCTTGAATTTGTAGGGTTATCCATTTCTATCCAATCCTCTGTACCAAACGAGGCCTTAGAGATATCACAGACCTAATGGATGTTTTAATTTGTAAACGCCTATGAAAGAAATAATTAGAAAGAACTTCAAGGGAATTTCCTTTGACATGATCAATTTTTTATCATAGTGGTTGTTAACATTCTCATATTTCCATGGTATGGACGCATACTCTTACATCTGCTTTATTTGGTCACTTGAACTGCTGATATCTCATCCCAAATTGTTATATAAATTTGTGCACAATGTTGTATAGTTATGTCCAACTTGGAATGTTTTCTTTGCAGTTGAATTTTAGCAGAATAATTGTTGCTATTTACTATAAGTAAACGGTTGTTGTTTCATTTAGGAATCTTCAGAACAAAATCTTGGGCGTGATTCTATGAACACCTCTCCATAGCATAATTTATTGATTCTAGAACTTTGTCAAGTAGTAAACTTTTCCAAGAAAGAGTATGAAGTGATATGGGTTTGCTATGTGCATGGCTGTTGGCTGTGTTTGCTTCTATCATGTTTTTTAATGTTAATTTTTTTTGTAGGCATTAGCTTAAAGTTGAAGTAATATGGGAGGGGGAACAGGAAACAACGACGAGTCTACTGACAGAGGGCTATTTTCAAATCTTGCTGGATTTGCTTCTGGACACCTTGCACGACCTGGATCACACCATGGATATCCTCCTCAAGGTGGATATCCTCCCCAAGGTGGGTACCCTCCTCAAGGAGGTTACCCTCCCCAAGGTGGGTACCCTCCTCAAGGTGGTTACCCTCCCCAAGGTGGATACCCTCCTTCTGGTGGGTACCCTCCACCTGGGTATCCCCCCGGACCTCCCCCCGCAGGATATCCGCCAACAGCCCATCCGGCCCCTGGTGGATATCCACCAGCCGGTTATCCAGGTCCATCAGCTCCACATCATTCAGGTAACCGAATCACTGTCACTTAGTTCTCTTATATAATTTGTGATATGTGAGTATGGTTCAGTTTCAATAAATTTATCCTCAGCTGTCCATATATTTTATTATTGATTTCCCGTCTAAGAGAAGCTTCAACTGAGGTAGCAAACTTTTTCTTCTCAATAGTCATTTCTTGAATCTTAGAACCCTAGGGTTTTGTTTAAGAACTGAACTGAACCACTCAAGCAATCCAAACTGATAAAAGTTGTGTAGTTTGGATTGGGGTCTCTTCTCGATACATTTTGCTCCAGAAAATAAATTTGTTCAACTGAACCAAACTGATGCTGATGACGATTCAAAATGAGAATATAGTTGGAAAGCTGTTGGTAGACTTACATACACCTTCCTCTTTGTTTTAGAGGATCGCAAGCATCAATTAGGGTTTAATTAAGGAATTAGTGTTGTGCATTACTTTATAAGCCATGTAGTGCATGTTTCCGTTCCTCTTGTTTCTTCCTTATAATAATTAAGAAATTATTGCTAAATGTTTAAGATATTACGTACATTTCTCTACATACAATATTCTACGATTTTCAGTAGCGATTTTAGCTGACGAAAATATATATATTACAGGGCGTGGATCATCAGGTATGGGGATGGGGGCCATGTTAGCTGGGGGTGCTGCTGCCGCAGCTGCTGGCTACGGAGTTCACCATCTTGTGCATGGGAGTCACCATGGTGGCGGATATGGTCGTGGCGGCGGATATGGTCATGGTGGCTATGGGGGCTTCGGTCATGGAAAGTTCAAACATGGGAAACATGGAAAGTTTAAGCATGGGAAACATGGCAAGTTCAAGAAATGGAAGTAATAGTTCATCTAAGGAAATCGAATGGAGGGTTCAAGATCCAAATCCCTTCCTCTATTGATAATACTACAGTACAATTGGTGTTATTCACATGCAGATGTTTGAAAGATGTTATTGTGTTCTTTTTTTCTGAAAGGATGTTATTGTGCATGCCCATGCGCAGTTTTACAAGCTTATTTGTTTAATCTTACAAGCTTAGTTCTTTGTGTTTTTGTGATTTAAATATCTTTTTCTATTTGTTAAATCTTTATTGATGTTTGATAATCCGTCTTACAAGATCATTATCCTTGCCTCCTTTTTTGGATCTTTCTTTCAAGGCTTTATTAGTTCTGTGGTATATAGATCATCGACGGCAGCACAAGTAGGTGCCTGTGCAACACCACAGGTGAGAGAATAGGTAGAGAAACTGGATTTTAGTGATGATTATATATCCTTCTGGATCTTCTTTCAATTCATTACTATATATATATATATATATATATATATATATGTAAACGTATCATATATCTACTACCAAAAGCCTATGTAGAAACAGACGCAATATGTTGAAGAGTATCACATGCTTACAAAAACATAAGCAAATGTGCATAGAGGGTTATCCGTTAAAATCATCGTGGAACAAAAGATGAGAATTGTTATTAGTATTCAAAAAATTTCAAATGACACTCCTTAAAAGTGTATTTTTCTTTCTATTTATAGAAAGTTCGAAGTGCAAAATAAGATTACTGGAGTGCCAATAACACAATTCTCTAAAAAATAACCAAATTCTATCAGAGCATATCATGTAAATATAAAATCATAATAGCAAGTTACCCTTTGACATGGTAATAGGCTAAGTAGACCAGCTTAAAAGAATGACAGAAAACCACAACTATAAGGCCCAAGGTCCATAAATAGCCAAGCACTCCAGTAGAACATTTGGCTCTTCAGCGGACCGTACAACCTCTCTCTCGAGGGGAATGGTTGGCCAAATGTAAGCAAGGCAGGGTTCCCGGAATCCCAGATACCGTCCAACACTTCCTACAAGACTCCATGATAAATAGGATTTTGTATTTTTTTTATTTGAGAATGTGTCTGGTAATTTAAGACTATGTCTAGTAGCACTATCTAAATTTCAAAAAATAATAAAGTCTTGTTTGGTTGTACTCCTGCGTATTAAGGAACTTGATCCTAATAGGCTTCCAATGATGAGATTGAAGAGATAACCACATATAATAAAACACGGAACATATTCTTGTATATATTTCACACAAAAACAACAAGGGTGAAATGACAAGTATGCTCGTTTTATGTTAATTAAGTTTAATTAATCACTTCATAATCATTGGTAACCAAAGTTCAAAAAAAATGCTAAGCACTACTCGGGCGACTAGATGGGGCATAGCTCCTTGGCAGGACCTAAATGGGGGCCGAGGCAAACTAGGCGGTTTAGTAAATTTATTACATATCGTATAAATAAATGCCTCTTTATACTTGAAAAAAAAAATCACAATTGTACTGTAATACATAAATTACAAAATGAAATGACATATGTCAATTATAAAGTGGTAACAATGATGGTGTTACTAGTAGCGGTGGTGGTGATAATAAGAGGTTTCAATGGTGGTGGGATATAGGTGGTGGTGGTGGAAATGGTGGTTGTGTGAACAATGGTAGTGAAAATGGTGGTTAGGAGGTGGCTATGGTGGTGGGAGGTGGTGACGGTATTGAGACGGTTGAGGTGGTGGTCGCCATGGTGGTGGGGATGATGGTGGTGGAGGAAGTGGTGTTGATGATAGTGAGACAGTGGAGTTGGTGGAGGTGGTCGTGGTGGTGGCCATGATGGTGTGGGTTATGACGGTGAAGAATGTGGTGATAGTGTCAGCGGCGATGGTGACATGGCGGTCGCATAGATGATTTTATTTTTTATTTTAATTAAAACTCAAACTTTGTTTTAGAGTGTTATTGACACACTAAAAAAACTCCAAACTTTTCATATTTGAAAAGAAATATACACTTAAGACGAGTGCACTGTTGGAAGTATGCCCACAAAGCCACTCATTTGATGTAATAGCTTTTTGGAATACTTATTGTGTTAAACTTTTATATGTTTAATAGAAGGGCAAAGCTTATTGTTAATCACTATTTATAGTATCTTGTGTTTAAGCAATAAGGGAATCCAAGGAATGTATTTGATCTAAGAGACAAGTGATTTAAGTTAGTTAAATTAACGAGACCTTTCTCTTATGTTCATTCCTAAAACGTTCCTAGCCATAGGATTGCCAATTGGGCATTGACAATCCGCTAAGGTTAGTATGTGTTATGTCGACTCAAGCGTGAGTATGAACTAGTCTCAAGTCATTTGGTGTTGGACACTAAGGCAAACACATAGGTGCTCGAAAGAGTAATCGAGTACACTGAACAACGATCAAACAAGAGTTCTAACATACATGTCATGTGAGAACTCAATAGTTGCAATATGCAAAGTAGTCCTTTGACCTGAGGCATCATTGATGTCTAATGGTTAGGTCCTTGATCTTTGATTATGTCAACGACATTCCATTGAAGTGTCCACGGCATTGTTGGGGTCAAGCTATCTAGTCATGTAGGCATATGAATGTACAACAAGGGATCTCTAACATTCCATGATGGAAGGAGAATACTCTAAGATATGATTCGAGAGTCTTTGGCCAAAGCATATGAATATGACTAAGGAAGATGTTCCAAATCTTATTCAATTGAATCATATAGAGAAGTATCACATTGGATAGTAGACATGAAACAAACTATCACTTAAACAATGTGATTAAGAGTATTGTATTAGAGAAGGACCGTATTGCATTGTAGTTGTAACTGGATAGGTTCTCCAACCACTTCTACTTAGCTTGGGTAACCATGACATGCTGCTAGGCGTCACCCATGGTTTGTGGAAGCCCTAAAGATTAGCAAACACTAATTTAAGGGAGAATTGAAATGTGGTTTCAATTCACAATCGATCGTTAAGAGTAACATCGCCCACTACCTCGCTAATTGGAACCTAATGGATCGTACACCGGGTAAAGATATAAGTGAAGAAATTATATGAAATGGATAAGCAATTAAATGGTTTAATTGAAGAATGGTCAAGATTAATTAAATAGTTAATTAATTATACGAAACGTTCGTATTGGGCGTTTAAGTTAGTTTTGGGCTTCGGGGCACAAAAACGTTTTGGTCCACAAGGCCCATTATGTTTAAGTTGTATGACAACTAAAACAAAATGGGCAATTAAGCCCAAATACAACATATGGCCGGCCATAAGCTTCAAGGGTAGTGAACTTGGCTTAATTGCAAGTTTGCCACTCCATTGTGAGGTGGTATAAAGACATCTTTATAGTCATTTCACCCTAAGGGGTTTTCTAATTGAATTTGGGTGAAACCTATTCTCTCATTTCACCTTAGGGGAGGAACATCTAGCAATCTTTCTTCCCTAAGTCATCCATTTCATCTTCACACAACATCTTTGGTGTGGAGACTTAGAGACACCAAACTTTTGGTGTTTTGGAGAATAAATCCTCAAATCCTCAAAGAAGAAAAGGAGCACTAAAAGGGAGGAAATCACAAGGAAGATTCAAGGAGCAAGGAGGTGACTTGAAGGCCCTCCACTTGGGTGAATCCCTTGTGCAATCAAGGATGAGCTTCAAGGGTAAAGAATCTCTAAATTCTTATTCTCTTTAATTTTGTTAAAGAGTCTTATGGTTCACCATATACTAGGCTTTGAAAGTCATGGGTTTTATGAATTGTTTTTGAATGCATGCCTACTTTAAAGAGTTATTAGTTTGCATATGTATTCAAATGTTCTTACATGTTCTTAGCTAGGACAAAATTTTTCCTTCATGCACAAGTGACAATAACACCTTTGTTTTATAATATATCTTGTACTTTCTATTATTTTGGATTCTACTCTTGAACAACATAGGTTAATGTGATCCTTTACATAATTTAGGCTTAATATTTTTTGCATTTTTCATTTTCATAAAACGATTTGTTAGAAGCATTTTTGCACGTGTAGCATCACTCAAATTGAGTGTTCTAAAAGTCAGCCTAGGCGGCACCTAGGCGTTGAACGGTGAAGGGCCGATCCGATTTAGGCCAAATTGTTGATGAAAATCGGGGAAGGTTTAGGCAGCCGCCTAGGCGGTTTAGGCAGTGGTAGGCGGCCAGTCTAGGCGGTACATGATTTTGAAATCTCGTCGTCGATTTTGCACCTTCGCCGTGAATTGCAGGCTTTCTTTATCCCTTCACATTCACATCTCTCACAATCACTGCATCTCCTAGACTTGCATCCCGCCGCATTTGCACTACATCTCTGCACCGTCTTGCATCGCATCTCTCACGATCTCACCGCACCTAGTTTGCAGCTTTAGAGGGAGAACAAGAGGGAGACAGTGGGTTCACTTATGTTTATGTTTTCATCAAATAGGCATTCACTTTGAGGAGTCACCACTCACCAGAGTTAATGAATCAGTTACCAATGTCAACACGTTTTCATATTAAATTGTTTCTCTACGGTTCCGTTAACCCATACAACCTTTTTCTAACAATATGATGACTTTAATATGTTTCTTGTACACACTTGTTTCAAACAATATGATGAACTTTTGACACCAAAGGGTGTCAAACTAGGCTAGTGGTTACCAGGTCAGATATGTCCTTTAGGCCTCTATTACTATTAGGAGATGGTTGTTCATGTCTAATCCCCTTCTGAATTCGGATCCCCTCAAAATTAAGAATAATTTCAAACGAGGCCTTAGAGATATCATAGACCTAATGGATGTTTTAATTTGTGAACGCCTATGAAAGAAATAATTAGAAATAACTTCAAAGGAATTTCCTTTGACATGATCAATTTTTTATCATAGTGGTTGTTAACATTCTCATATTTCCATGGTATGGACGCATACTCTTACATCTGCTTTATTTCGTCACTTGAACTGCTGATATCTCATCCCAAATGGTTATATAAATTTGTGCACAATGTTGTATAGTTATGTCCAACTTGGAATTTTTTCTTTGCAGTTGAATTTTAGCAGAATAATTGTTGCTATTTACTATAAGTAAACGGTTGTTGTTTCATTTAGGAATCTTCAGAACAAAATCTTGGGCGTGATTCTATGAACACCTCTCCATAGCATAATTTCTTGATTCTTGAACTTTGTCAAAGTAGTAAACTTTTCCAAGAAAGAGTATGAAGTGATATGGGTTTGCTATGTGCATGGCTGTTGGCTGTGTTTGCTTCTATCATGTTTTTTAATGTTAATTTTTTTGTAGGCATTAGTTTAAAGTTGAAGTAATATGGGAGGGGGAACAGGAAACAACGACGAGTCTACTGACAGAGGGCTATTTTCAAATCTTGCTGGATTTGCTTCTGGACACCTTGCACGACCTGGATCACACCATGGATATCCCCAAGGTGGATATCCTCCCCAAGCTGTGTACCCTCCTCACGGCGGTTACCCTCCCCAAGGTGGATACCCTCCATCTGGGTATCCTCCCGGACCTCCCCCCGCAGGATATCCACCAGCAGCCCATCCGGCCCCTGGTGGATATCCACCAGCCGGTTATCCAGGTCCATCAGCTCCACATCATTCAGGTAACCGAATCACTGTCACTTAGTTCTCTTATATAATTTGTGATATGTGAGTATAGTTCAGTTTCAATAAATTTATCCTCAGCGGTCCTCCATATATTTTATTATTGATTTCCCGTCTAAGAGAAGCTTCAACTGAGGTAGCAAACTTTTTCTTCTCAATAGTCATTTCTGGGATCTCAGAACCCTAGGGTTGTTTAAGAACTGAACTGAACCGCTCAAGCAATCCAAACTGAGAAAAGTTGTGTAGTTTGGATTGGGGTCTCTTCTCGATACATTTTGCTCCAGAAAATAAATTTGTTCAACTGAACCAAACCGATGCTGATGACCATTCAAAATGAGAATATAGTTGGAAAGCTGTTGGTAGACTTACATACACCTTCCTCTTTGTTTTAGAGGATCGCAAGCATCAATTAGGGTTTAATTAAGGAATTAGTGTTGTGCATTACTCTATAAGCCATGTAATGCATGTTTCCGTTCCTCTTGTTTCTTCCATATAATAATTAAGAAATTATTGCTAAATGTTAAGATATTACGTACATTTCTCTACATACAATATTCTACGATTTTCAGTTTCGATTTTAGCTGACGAAAATATATATATTACAGGACGTGGATCATCCGGTATGGGGATGGGGGCCATGTTAGCTGGGGGTGCTGCTACCGCAGCTGCTGGCTACGGAGTTCACCATCTTGTGCATGGGAGTCACCATGGTGGCGGATATGGTCGTGGCGGCGAATACAGTCATGGAAAGTTCAAACATGGGAAACATGGAAAGTTTAAGCATGGGAAACATGGCAAGTTCAAGAAATGGAAGTAATAGTTCATCTAAGGAAATCGAATGGAGGGTTCAAGATCCAAATCCCTTCCTCTATTGATAATACTACAGTACAATATTGGTGTTATTCATATGCAGATGTTTGAAAGATGTTATTGTGTTATTTTTTTCTGAAAGGATGTTATTGTGCATGCCCATACGCAGTTTTACAAGCTTATTTGTTTAATCTTACAAGCTTAGTTCTTTGTGTTTTTGTGATTTAAATATCTTTTTCTATTTGTTAAATCTTTATTAATGTTTGATAATCCGTCTTACAAGATCATCATCCTTGCTTCCTTTTCTGGATCTTTCTTTCAAGGCTTTATTAGTTCTGTGGTATATAGATCATCGACGGCAGCACAAGTAGGTGCCTGTGCAACACCACAGGTGAGAGAATAGGTAGAGAAAATGGATTTTAGTGATGATTATATATCCTTCTGGATCTTCTTTCAATTCATTACTATATATATATGTAAACGTATCATATATCTACTACCAAAAGCCTATGTAGAAACAGACGCAATATGTTGAAGAGTATCACATGCTTACAAAAGCATAAGGAAATTGTGCATAGAAGGTTATCCGTTAAAATCTTTGAGGAACAAAAGATGAGCATTGTTATTAGTATTCAAAAAATTTCAAATAGCACTCATCACAAATGTATTTTTCTTTCTACTTATAGAAAGTTTGAAATGCAAAATAAAATTACTGAAGTGCCAATAATAATTCTCTAAAAAATAACCAAATTCAACGAGAACGTATCACGTAAATATAAAATCATAATAGCAAGTTACCTTTTAATATTGTAAGCAAATTGTTATCTTAGCTATAAGGCCCAAGGCCCATAAATAGCCAAGCACTCCAGTAGAACACTTAGCTCTTCAGCGGACCATACAACTTCTCTCTCGAGGGGAATGGTTGGCCCAATGTAAGCAAGGCAGGGTTCCCAGAATCCCAGAATACTGTCCAACACTTCCTACAAGACTCCATGATAAATAGGATTTTGTATTTTTTTTTTATTTGAGAATGTGTCTTATAATTTAATACGTGTCTAGTAGCACTATCTAAATTTCAAAAAATAATAAAGTCTTGTTTGGTTGTACTTCTGCGTATTAAGGAACTTGATCATAATAGGCTTGCAATGATGAGATTGAAAAGATAACCACATATAATAAAATACGGAACATATTCTCATATATATTTCACACAAAAACAACTAAGGGTGAAATGACAAGTATGCTCTTTTTATGTTAATTAAGTTTAATTAATCACTTCATAATCATTGGTAATCAAAGTTCAAAAAAAAAATGCTAAGCGCTACTTGGGCGACTGGATGGGGCATAGCTTCTCAACGGGATCTAAATGGGGACCAAGGTAGACTAGGTGGATTTAGCAAATTTATCACATATCGTATAAATAAGTGTCTCTTTATACTTTAAAAAAAAAACATAACTGTACTGTAATACATAAATTACAAAATGAAATGACATATATTGATTATAAAGTGGTAATGATGATGATGGAGATGGTGGTTAGGATGGTGTTGCTAGTAGCGATGGTGATGGTAGTGTTGAGACGGTTGAGGTGGTGGTCGCCATGGTGATGGGGATGATGCTGGTGGAGGAAGTGGTGGTGATGATAGTGAGACGGTGGAGTTGGTGGAGGTGGTGGCCATGATGGTTTGGGTCATGACGGTGAAGAATGTGGTGATAGTGTCAGCGGTGATGGTGACATGGTGGTCGCATAGATGATTTTATTTTTATTTTATTAAAACTCAAACTTTGTTTTAGAGTGTTATTGACACGCTAAAAAAACTTCAAACTTTCCACATTTGAAAAGAAATATATATTTAAGACGAGTGCACAAGTGACAATAACACCTTTGTTTTATAATGTATCTTGTACTTTCTATTATTTTGGATTCTACTCTTGAACAACATAGGTTAATGTGATCTTTACGTAATTTAGGCTTAATATTTTTTGGGTTTTTCATTTTCATAAAATGATTTGTTAAAAGCATTTTTGCACATGTTTTTGTATATACAAAATTGAAAAAAAAAATACTATCTTTATTAGAAAGGTGGTACAAATGCGATAAATGTAGCATCGCTCAAATTAAAAACTGTTTTGCTAAATGGTACTGAATGGATCCTAAAATAATATACAATAGTTTTTTATTTTTGGTTTTTAATTTTGATTTTGTGGTGTCTTTTCTTATACATTTCTTCTACATCTCTTCCACCATCTTTCCTCCATTCTTTTTCCGCCTCACCTCTTTCATGTATTTCCCCTTTATCTATAACAGAAAAATGAAAACTAAAAGCGAAACGGGCATCAAACGATCTCTTAATATATTATAATTCATTTTGGTCGGATCCGTTTCAGAATATTATAAATTATATGAAGCGTGTAAATCATTTAAATAAGCTCTTATTAGTTAAATAGTAGGACAGCAGCCGAAGTCTTGGTTGTTGAATCATTTGTGCAAATCCTTTACCTACAAGAAAAAGATTACAAAAATAATTTAAACTAAAAATATAAAAATAAAACCAACTCGTGCAGTCAAAGTCAAAAACGAACCATACGCGGTAGAATAACTCATCTGATCACCTACTCTGCTATGGGTTTCCCATCGTTCCTGGTCCCTTGCTAGCTAGGTTGTTCTTAATATATAGTTTTTAATATAATTTGTATTTTTTTTTCCTTTTTCTTTAAATCCAAAAGGAATAGATAGGAAAATTGCAAAACTTTTTGGTTTGCATGTTCCTGGGGATCGAGTGGTTAGATGAGGGTCCACATGCTCCTGCCCTCACATGCACTACTATACTTGTCCTTACCTGCTTGTCCCTTTTAAACGATTAAATGTGCTTTGTTTTGTTGACTAATTGCGGTACTGATTAAGGTGACAATGGAAGATTATAATGCATCGTTGCTTGTTTACAACGTGCAGTAGTTAGACTAGTGTGTTTGCTTCTTTTGGGTGTTTATTTTGTATGATAATGTGTTTGCTCGCTTGTATTCGTGTACCCATAAGATGATGCAGTTGACTAGATTAATGTGTTTGTTTGTTTGTCACAGATTGCTCAATAAGATGATGATTTGCTCATTTATATTCATCTACTCTATAATAAGATGATAAAGTTAGACTAAAGTAATGTGTTTGTATTTGGTCTTTATTTACTCTGTAAGATGATGTGTTTGCTCGCTTGCATTCATTTACTTTATATAATAAGATGATACAGTTAACTAAAATAGTGTTTGCTTTTCTGCCTTAGTTTATTATATTTGTTTAAGATGTTGTGTTTGCTCGCTTGCATTTGTCTGCTCTTTATAGAGAAAAGTAATTTTAAGTATTCTTTTACCAACAAAGAAAAAGGTAAGTGATTGGTTTCTATGTGCAATAGAAGATTATAATGCACCTTTTGCTTGTTTACAACATAGAGTGGTTAAAGCAGTGTATTTGCTTCTTTGTGGGTGTTTATTTCATAGATATTGTGTTTGCTCGCTTGTGTTTGTTTACTCGTAAGATGATGTAGTTGACTAGAGTAATGTGTTTACTTGTTTGTTGCAATCTGCTCAATAAGATGATGTGTTTACTCATTTACATTCATCTACTCCATAATAAGATGATACAATTGGCTAAAATAATGTGTTTGTTTTTTGCCTTAGTTTACTCTATAAGATGATATGTTTGCTCGCTTGCATTCATTTACTTTATAATAAGATGATATAGTTGGCTAAAGTAGTGTTTGCTTTTCTGCCTTAGTTTATTCTATTTCTATAAGATGATGTGTTTGCTCACTTGCATTCGTCTCCTCTTTATAGAGAAAAGTAATTCAAAATATTATTTTATCAACAAAAGAAAAAGGAAATTAAGTCATTGGTTTCTATGTACAATAGAAGATTAAAATGCATCTTTGCTTGTTAATAACACACAGCGGCTAGAGTAGTGTGTTTGCTTCTATTTTTTTTTTTGGGAGTTTATTTTCTAAGATAATTTGTTTGCTTATTCGTCGCATACTGCTCAAAAAGATGATGTGTTTGCCCACTTGCATTCATCTACTCTATAATAAGATGATACAGTTCCCTAAAGTAATGTGTTTGCTTTTTTGCCTTAGTTTACCCTATAAGTTGATATGTTTGCTCGCTTTCCACTAGACCAACCTCTTGAGATTAATTTTGAATAGTTTTAAAATAGGATTTAGTGACTAAGGCAAAGAAGCAAAGGAGGAAGAAGAGTGCTCTAATCAACTTAATTAAGCTCAACGCTGCAACAATATTTTCCAATTTTGTCAGTAATCATTAGAACGTACAATTTTCTTTTTTGTTCAAATTTTAAGAATGTATGTTCTAATTTCGACAATGTCAACAACGTAATATGTTCTAAAAAATACATATCAAGTATTTTTGTGATAAGACGGGGGCATGTGCACTGGTGGTTTGGTCCAGGAGGAGGACGTTAGATGCTGCTGCTGATAATGTGAAGCGGTCACTCTCTTCATTTCTTACATGTTGGAATTAGTCACTTCAAGTTTCAAGTAGTCAGCTGTCTTGCATTTCCATTGCTGTAAACAGTTGGATTAAATTACAAATCTGCATCATTATTATAACCTAAGTTATAAATAGAAATTTACGTCATTACAAGGTATATCTTGCATCATATCTAGCTATTATTCAAGGAAAATTTCAAGCAAAGTTTTAGGGTCAGAGTACCACCATTTTTGTTTTTAGTTTTAGTTTTTAAATATCAACCTTTCGTTTTTGCTTATTATTTTATTTTTTTTTTGTAAAACTTAAAACTCATCTAGAAACTATTTTCAATTTTTCAGTTTTAAAAAAAATAAATAATAATAAAAACAAAAAATTGAACGCCAAAATTTGAAAATATAAAAAATACATTTAGATTCTGGTTTTCAGTTATTATTATTATTTTTAAATTAAACAATGAAAGTAATTACTAAACGAATTTTCAATTTTCAATTTTTTTTTATAAAAAAAGAGAAAAAAAATAAACTACGAGTGGTGAATTGTTCCAGTGGTCAAGACCTTTCTGTTTAACCCACTTCATCCTGACTTAAAACCCTCTCGCCTCCCCTTTAATCTAGTTTATAGTAAAAATGTCGCTTGTACAAAAAATAACAATTTGAAAACGAAATAGTTATCAAATGACATCTTAGCAATATACTTGCATAATATATCTTGTTCTACTTTGCTCCGTGAACTTTGAAATTGTGTGAG